TATCTTCTTAGTTTAAGTGTCATCATCTCAAGGTATATATATATACATACATAGTGAGTGGGAAAAAAAAAAAATCAAGAAAAGGTGTTGTACTCTTTAATTTCTTGATACTAATCATTTTCAAGAGTGGATTTTTAAGCTTGTTTTTGTGGTTTGAAGTTTTAAAGTGATGGGCATTACCTCTCTCCAAGTTTGCATGGACTCCTCAGACTGGTTGCAGGTATATATAGATAGCTTAAACTATAACAACAATGGCTAATGCATGCATGTGAATCCTTCATGCACATTTTTTTCTTTCATTTCTTTCTAATTATGTCACTTTTTATAATTGGGGTTTGTTCAATCGTGCAAGGTTTTTGACCTTTGGATCAACACACATTCGTGTGCGTATGTTGATCCAACGGTAAAAAAAAAAAGTCGTTGATTGCGTTGCAGTCACCGCTAGGGTGAAATTTTCCCTTGATTAATTTGGTTGCAAAATTTTCTCTAATTTTGTTGGCATTTTGTATTTTTTTCTTGATAAAAGGCATGCTTGAAATTTATAGTGACCAAATGCCAAAGTGATTTTAAGTTTTTATTAACATCAACATTACCAATTTTGACTCCTTGTTTTCTGTTTTTGTGATAATGAGTGCTTTTATTCTTATAGTTTCTTTGTTTTCTAATGATGGTATTTAAATGATACTCTGAAATTATGTCTGATAATACTCTTTTGCAGTCTGCATATAAGTGCATAGAGATTGAAAAAATATTGGTAGAGCCTCCTTTTTGTTTGTGGCCAAGACTTTCTAAAGTAGCCAAAATCTTGAAATTAGTGCATTGTTTAAAGCTGACCCCACGTTATATCATAGCCTTCATTCATATGACCCCAAAAAATAAAAAATAAAAAAACTACCGACATCCCATGCAAATACAATCTCTCTCTCTCTAATAAATTACAAAGACAAATCAATTTTTCACCGTTAGATCAGCACACATGTTCGTTGTTCTGACGGTGAAAAACTCAATACGTGGACTATTGTTGGCGTGTATTGGATAGTCGAATCTTCCATGTAACACACTGCACTTAGAGATAAGATATCACATATTTAGAGCCACCATTAAATTGACACATGATGAAGTGTTACTAATTTCATTTCCCCCACAATTTTTTTCAATAAAATTTCCACATATAGACAAACCAACCCTTCCCAATCTCACCCCTCCTTTTTCACACACTAAGCACACACTCCATGTGAAAAAAACCAACACACCATAAGCACCCATTGATCCACAAAACCATACCCCTAGCTAACTAGCTAGCCAAACCTCTCAAATAAAATAAAATAAAATAATCAAACTCACTCACACCTAACACACACACACACACACAAACACACAATTATCTTTATCTCCGTTCTAACTGATTATCCTTTTTTTTCTTCTTCTCCTAAGGGCCCGATTTCCGACGAAAACTCCGGCCTCATCATGGACTCTCCCCCCGCCGTCATCACCACGACTCCTCCCGGAGGCGGCGGGCTCCACGTCGACCACCACCCCTTTTCTGAGCGCCAGCGCCTCCGGCCGCAACACGAGCACGCCCTCAAGTGCCCGAGGTGCGAGTCGACTCACACCAAGTTCTGCTACTACAACAACTACAGTCTCTCTCAGCCGCGCTACTTCTGCAAGACGTGCCGCCGCTATTGGACCAAAGGCGGCACCCTCCGCAACATCCCGGTCGGCGGTGGCTGCCGTAAAAACAAGAAAGTTACCACCAAGAAAAACAACCACAACCCATCCACGTCATCATCATCCGCACCGCCGCTTGTCGCCACCCTGGACCCCAAGAACAACAACAACAACACCGAGCTCCAGCTGGCGTTCCCCGACGGCCAAATGGCGGTGGGCCCGGGACTGTTCAATCCCGTGAGCCCGGGATTGCTTTTCGGGCCCGCGGACCAGATCGGGTACATGGGGATTAGCAACAAGTTATACGAAGGGTTTATGAGCGGCATGCAGCAAAACCCTGGTGGAGAAGGGGGTTTCGACGGGCTCGGGATTCATAATCACGCGTTTGGCATGATGGATAATAATGTTCTTCTGCCTTATGATGAGAGTAGCTATCCAAGTTACAATAACATGATTAGTCATCATCATGTGGACCATCACATCGACGTGAAGCCGAACGCTAGGGTTTTGTCGCTCGAGTGGCAAGATTGTAATTCGGATGCCGGGATTAAGGACGCATTTGGGTATAGTATTGGAGGGATCGGGTCGTGGTCCGGGCTGATGAACGGGTACGGGCCATCCACGACGAATCCGTTGGTTTGATGATGGGTTTGTATGAGTAGCTAATTTGCTAGCTAGGGTTCTAATCGGTTGATTATGTGTTTTGTTTAGTAATGTTTGCAAGAAATGAGAGGGGAGGGTTTAGGGTACTGTGATAGTAGGTTTATCTTAATTAATGTGGGTTTTATTCTCGCTTTTTTTTACCCTTTTGGTTTATGTAATTTTGTTTTATTTTAATTTTTTTAGTTCCCTCCTATATGTTGAAGGACTTGCTAATTTGGGTGTGAATTTGGAAATATTGTTGTGGAAGTCTTTAAGAATATATGTCTTATTTAGTTATTTTATGCATTTATTTATATAATATTGTCGTGGGGTGGAAGCAAAATTGAATATCTGGTAGATTCGATCAGATTGGTTTTTACCGTTGGATCAACACACGTATGCATTATCGAAAGGTAAAAAATTTCGGTAATATTACTCCCCAAAATCGAGAATTTCCAATAAAAATAATTTCTATCGATCGTTTTTTTCTTTTCACAGTACAATCGTTAGATCAACATACGTATGGATTATCGATCGGTGAAAAAATCGAGAACGGTAGTATCCTAATTCGTAGGTATGGGATTTTCCCATAAATCCATGGTAGATTGGGTGAGAGTTCGAGGAAGATAATGTTGTACTTTTGTGAGGTTTTTTTATGTGCAAAAGAATGTTTTTGACACTGAGTTACTGACTCTACCTGTGGGTACTTGGTTTTCTTTAACAAAGAGTGATGATTTTTTAGTGCTTAGGGAAGTGTAAAAGTGTAAGACCTGAAAGAATTGTTCTTTACAAGAGCTTCATATTCAAAATATTTTGGCACTCAATGTACAGACAAACCGGTTATCAATAGACAATGAAATCTTAATACGAATGTTGATGTGAGTCGGGTCATGTGAGTCAAATGTAGAATTTTTAGCGAATCGAACTTTTGCAAAAGAAGAAAAGAAAAAAAAAAAATGTTCGTATTTGACAAAAGCTCGTTTCCTTTTTAATCGAAGCTAGTTCGAATAAAACATTATGCTTGTTCATTAATTGGACAAACAAGAGTGTTTGCAAAAGAATCGGTAATTTTCACGAATATTAATTTTATATTGTTATTATTATTGTTATTAAATTTTTTCAGGGCTCAAAGTCTCAAACTATTTCGAACAAACAGATATCGAGTTAATTAGCAATTTCAAAGAGAAACGTAATAAATGAATGAACATAAACAATATTCGAATAATAAACGAACGAACATAAACAATGTTCAAACATAATCGAACACAACTAAAAATACTCAAGCTCTCGTTCGATTCAATCACAAAGCTAGTTAAACGGGAGAATTCATCATACTTCTTTACATAATCATTCATATTGTACTATTTCACACATTTTTACCAAACCCAAATGAAGCAAAAACCAAGCCTTACCTGAGGCATAACTAATATATCCTTCTATTTCTAGTCCAATAAGAGAACTTAAGTTAGATCAGATCTTCCTAGCCAAAAGCCATCTCGATGCAATTACTATTCAACACAACGAACAAAATGTAGGTTTTCAGACAGTCTTAACATCATTCAGACAGCAAAAGACAAGTTCAAAAGGGCAAAAGATGAAACCACACAAAAGGACTAGAGATGGCACGGCTCGAGACCTCAAGCCGATGACGAGCCTCCGGTTATGTTCCCAATCTTGCCAAGAAAAGCCCGAATCTCGTTTTCCAGCTTGGCTTTTGCATCACTCGGGATTTTATCTCCCATTTTCTCCAGAGTAGCCTTCATCATTTCAACATTTTGCTTCATGAACGCGATATCCGGAGTATCTTGCCCAGCGGG